CTATGCTTTTGTAGTATCTTGGAGAAGAACGTGAAAAAACACCTATCATCGGTGCAATATCTATTGGTAATCCATTTGATCTTGTTGGGTATGCATTTACTTACGTTCTTGTACTTTACCAAACAATTATTGGTAGCTAACCCTATCTTCTAAAAAAAACAACAACAGTGGGAGTATGTCGTTGGAACGAAGATTTCTGGGCAAAACAGTATACTCTCCCGCAATGGCAGAGAATTTAAAGAGAGTCTTTCTCAAACACCAAGAAGTTCTTAAGTTGGATGATCGAATCCGTTCTGAACATGTGCTTGCGGTAAGACTCCTCAGATTGTCTACGTACACAATAACTTTATGGATTCTACCGACATTGTTTATTCTTAATATTAACACGTCCATTTTAATAGGCAAAAACTGTTAGAGAATTTGACGATCGTCTGACGCGCTTAATTTTTCGTTATGATACTGTGAATGATTATTATCGTGATGCTAGCAGTTGTCGTTTTATCACGAAAGTGCGTATTCCTTTGTTGTGCCTGACTGCTGAAGACGATCCTATATCTACATATGAACTTATTCCATATGATGAGTGCAGGTAAAGGAGCATGCAATTAACCAATAAAGGTGATAGCTCTCAACTAAGTTTGTCTCCGTTTAAGGTTCAACCCGTACGTGATTTTGGCTACTACATCTCACGGAGGTCACCTTGGATGGTTTACCGGCTTCTGGAAGCCGGTAAGATGGTGTCTAAACCCTCTCGTTGAATTTTGTGTGGCAATAATCGAGGTATGCTTTTTTGACGACGGTAGAAGATAAAGTCTAGAATTCTTAAGATTCTTCTCGTTATAGGCTGATCGGGATTGCTTAAATGAAGAAAGACAAACGTCAGATGACAAAAACGATAATCCAGTAGAAGCCGTTGTATTGAACGATAAAATTCTGTCTAACGGCGAGGATGGGCTGTGATGAGTACAGATCAAACTGGATTTATATCAGCTTTTCCGCGATAATAATTTTGACGTACATTATTAAGTACGGTACCCAAATCGGATAAGAAAAAGATATTTAATGCGATCACTGATATTATGTCGACTTACGCAAGATAGATGAGATTAGTTGAACTTTTTTTTTCCTGATAAAGCGGAAGAGAATCGTTCTATTATTGAATTAATGTATGACATTGAGATTGAACGTACAGCGAATAAATAGGTCCAATTCGCAAAGACTATGTACATGTACCCAAGTTTGTTCATTCTGAGATGAGTGTTGCTGAGCATGAAGAATGACAATTATGATGAATCCCCTCCATTTTATGACAACGTTTATTACCCAAGAGCTTAATCTCCAAATACGGTATTTCTGATTAGTACTATTTGTCACCTTTTTGCAAATGTTGCTACAAGTAATAAATATACGAGTATTTAGTAGAAGTACTGGGCGATTATCTGTTGAAGGCGATACCTCCAGCAATGTGTCTACTAAATGTTTGTAATAGTTAGCAAACGCGTACAATATTGCGAATCAGATCTTTCTATCACTATCACTACTAACTAAAATCAAATCTGCTGGGAATAACATTTTCAATTATGCTCGTTTTTAATATCAAATGAAATTGTATGGCGTAGCAAGTAAATAATTAACATAAACAATATTACGCGTAAAAGTGGTTTTGTTACGTATGGAAATGCTTTGCTCAACGCGATTAGTACAATGCCTACTCAAAGTCTCCGAATTTTCGTCGATCATGCGTGACTCTATAGTAATAGCCAAGCAACGAAGCTCTAGTCATTGTTTGCTTGTTCTAACCTACATTCTGCAAAGTTTCGCTGCACATCAATATGTAAGATTAAGATGTTGAGTTTGCTTATACCTGAATTTATCTAACCAAAATTTGACAGATGTGTTTCGCAACTCAAATGTTTAAAACGTACAATATTTATTTGGGGCATGCTGCAACAAAACCAGACGAAGTGAACATTCTAGCATAAAGTAGTAGTTCAAAACACCACTCGCCCGAATATTTTTCAAAGTATCTTGTTACTTTCTTTTCATCGTGTCTCCAGGCCTTTAATGATTTTTCAGAACGTATTGCATCTTTCCATAATTATTTTTATTTTTATAAAAGTCTGTGTCATTGGTGTTGTAATTTTTTAGTTTTGACTTTTCTAATCTTCCTAACTCTTTGTGAATATTAAATATTAGTAATATTATCTAATTCTTAGTGAAGCAAGTTGTTTCTTTTTGCTTCATTCAAAGTAGTAGTGATACCTTTTCAAAAGCAAAATTTTAATTAAAATTTTAATTTCCATGATATCTATTTTGTCTGTATTATTAAAATCTAGCTAGCATGTCTGAAAGCCTACTTTTATACTTTTTGAGATACTTATTTATTCGCCAATAATTTTTGATTATTTTTAAATACTCTTGATATTTTCTGTTGTTGTTTTTTTTTTTGGACAATTACATTGTTATATTATTATTGTTGTTATTATTGAATTTATTTATAATAACTATTTTTATAAAATTTAACAAATTTTTACTAATATCAATTCTGATTTACTAATACCAACTCTGTTTAATTTTTTCTTTATCCAAATATTCTTCAATGTTTTGGCTGAAATGAGTGGTACGGACCTCTACTATGATAGTCTGCTTTTTGTATTGTGTCATGGGATTGTGCTCTTGGCATAGCTGGTTTTGGCTTGAGCGGTCAAATAACCATGCTCCAGTAATGATTCCGCGTATATTCAGTTAATTTGCAAATGTATGGTGCTAGAAGTGTTGAGTTTATATGTGCTCTCTTGAAAATTACGACAAATAGGTTTTTTATGTAATAATACTCGGCCATTAATATTGTTTAAATCAAGTAAATTGCAATTGAGATTGTTTTATAGCGCAAATAATTGAGCAATTATTAAATTGAAAATTGTTTGTGTCCGGTTAGATAAATTTAGCCGTTTGGTTCATATTCAATCTAAGTACGAAATAAGAGACAGATATAGATGAATTTCTGTTTTATTCATTGTTTATGTTTCATCGTTAATTATCTCAGGCCGGATTCTGTTAACATTGTCGTATTTTAAAATTGATTGAATAAAAGACGAACCCGGGGCAATGTTACGTGAAAATAAGTTCCTATCGTAGGTTTTTTCTCTCTTTTCTTATTTTATTTTATTTTATTTGGAATAGGTTAAAATTAACAGTTTCGATGACCAATTAGCAAAACATGAAAATATGGTTTTGCAATGTAAGAGACTAGTCTGCTGGTGTAATCTATTATTTCAAGATCGTAAGGTATTAATTAAACAACCGTAGAATTAAAATTCATGTCACCTGAGCGACAGAAAAGCAGTTTCACTAGGCAACTGAAAGAAGATGATAATTAGAAAACATCCAAACGTGTTGTCTTGACTGAAGCAAAGTATGTATATTAATATAAAAACACGCATAATGAAGTTATCTAATGAATGAGCTAAATTCAACTTACTCATGATATTCACTATAGTGAGAAACTGTTCTCCACTATAAATAAAGTCATGTGCGCTTAATACACGCTCACTTACCATCACTCAGCTATGGTCATCATATAAAAGTCCAAACCCGATATTTCGTTCATACGCATGCAACGCGATTCTTGAAACTCTTTCACAGATTTGCCTATAAATGTTATGCATCAGCCATAATTTGGCTAGTTCAGATATACCATAATTATATTCTTTACAATGCGCATTGTCTCTCGCCGGGACTTTACGATGGCTTGTCTGATAAATAAATAAATAATAAAATCTGGCGTTTGCACGTCTCATCTATAAATAAATCCTAACCTTTTAGCTACGATCACTTTTGCATTGCAAGTACAAAAATTGCGTTATCTCGAACGGTTTTGCGTTATTATTATGTTTCAATTTGGAAATCGCCACGCACTTGGTGAGAAACGACAGAATTAATATAATTTCGATCATATGACGTCATAATGTGTCTAATTGATATTATTTATTTCCCACGCTCAACCAATGTACATGATTCACATCCGAGAACTAAAAAGCTATGATAACTTTTTCGTCATTATTTTGTCTACTGGCATAAAATGTAACGATGTACAATTACTAGTTTGACGATCAACGCCTTTTGACCAATTCAGTATAATCGACATTGTTTATTAGAACGGTTATTAAGTGCAATTTTTAACGAGCGATGGAACCCCAGGTTCTTTTATTAGCCATATCTGCTTCCATGATTAGAGAAGATGCTGTGTTTGTTCAAAGGTGTCGTCTTAATATAGCAACACCCTGACAATAACTAATACACATTCTAAAGAGAAATATTTTCATACTGACAGGGGTAAATTTACAATTGACACTTTCGTATAACAACGCAAGTGCTATGCACATATTTCCGTCCATATTAGATCGAGTCTTGGTTATGGATAACTGCACGTGGAGATTGTAGGTCGTTTTTTGACAATGCCCATCAACATTGAGACACTACTATTTCAGTCACTCACCAGCCATTTCAGCCACTTTATTCACGGGGTTAATGTTTATTCTGGTTGTTTGCAGATTTAATAAATATATGCAGATAGAATGTCAATAAATATGCACCCGATTCTATGCTGATCACAGCCGAGACCACACATAATTAGCAAGTATCATTTCGAATTGGAATATCATCTCCCTACTGTCTGCCCTCTCGGTACTTTGAAGCATTTCAGAAATGAGTTCCTTAAGTTTACCTCCAGTTAATCTCAAGCACCCGCAAACGCTGTCGTCCGTGGTTAGTGACTAGTTCTTGATTTGAGCGCGTCACGGAAGTCTTCTCACTCGCGTCATCTCGTTGAATAGGATTTCCAAAATGCGACTTCAGCCATTGCTGCTAAAACTATGCGCTCAGAGCTTAACAAAATGATCCATTCGCTTGGTCCTGAAGTTAGTGAGGGGCAACGTAAGGTTTGTATGGAATACATTGGCATCCGTCGATATGTCTTTTTTTTTGTTTGATAACAACTTGTTTATGTCTTGATCATGCTAGGCGTTCAAAAATGAAATGGATAATTTCTACCACATGTTTACTCGTTACTTGGCAGACAGGTCGAAGGGAGTCGAATTGTAAGTAAACGAAACCTGACAAATCAATCGTGAGCTATGACTAATCGAAATCAAAATCACTAAAACTGTAGGGATTGGGATAAGGTCAAGGAACCTCGTCCTGAACAGATTATTCCATACAAAAAGCTTGCTGTATGTGAAACAACAGAGATCCTAGACAAATTAGCTGTATTAAAGCTTAATGGTGGTCTTGGTACGACTATGGGCTGTGTCGGTCCAAAGAGTGCTATTGAAGTTAGGGATGGAATGACCTTCTTGGATCTAAGTGTCAGACAAATTGAGGTTTGTTGTTATTGTTGTTGATGGCGTGAATAGCTTTTCTAAAGTCGTTGGCTGATAACAAGTCGAGAATTTTACTGATAATCGGCTTGATAAACTCTAACTCATCACGATTCATGAATTATTAGTAATCATGTGTCTGAGAAATTGCTCTAATCGAAAAATTTAT